TGCATCCATAAAGATTTACAGTCTTGGAAACCCTATGGGGCAATTCTACTCTGTCCTATAGAGTGGCTGGGAGTTGTAATTGACTCAATTGCAGTAGATTTGGTTTGGTTTTGATACAGTTATATATAAGGAGTCCTGGTGGCTTGATGGTTAAGTGCTTGGCTTCTAACGAAAAAATTGGTGGTTTGAGCCGACCTGGTGGCTCTACAGTACACCTGTCGGTCTGCTCCCATGAACATTATAGCCTAGAAAAACTTAATGGGACAGTTCTACTTAGTCACATGGGATTGCTATGAGTCAGAAATGATTCAATGACACCTAACAACAACAACAGTTATTTATGTCCAGTATTAGGTATAATGCTCGCATAATATGCTTTAAAACTATTTTACCTCTAAACTAAAAAAGCCAGACTCACTGCCGTCAAGTCGGATCCGACTCATAGCGATCCCTCCTTGGGTTTCCGAGGCAGTATCACTGCAGAAGTAGATTGCCCAACCTGGTGGGTTTGAACCGCCAGCCTTCTGGTTAGTAGTCAAATGCCTTAGGCACTGTGCTACCAGAACTCCCTGTATTTTCCATAGGATCTAAAAATGTTATATGAATGCTATCGGCTCTCAAAAAGCAATCTTACCTTGTATTAGTATTGCATTGTTTGTTTTCCTTTCTAAAATGCACCAAATATTAGGCTTTTGATAAAAATTTGTTGATTGAATGATAATCAGTTCCCATTGTCCATCTATATGAAAACCTAGATAGATACACTGATAGGTAAACAATTGTTAAAAAAATCATTGCAAAAATCTATTTTAATGTTTGATATGCATTAGTTCTAAAATCAGCTATCCAAATAAAACACTAAGTGATCTTTATAACTTAGAAGGCAATTTATTTTTATCCTGACTATTGCTATCAGTAGCTCTTATTTTTGTAGCATCAGAAATAGTCCTAAATACATTTAGTACACTATCTCATGTAGTGCTCAAGTAGTAATTCAAAGGGTGGGTGGCATTATCCTCATTTTATAGGTAAGAAAACTGAAGCTCAGGGAAGTTAAGTTTCTCACATATTTTGGTTCATCTGATTCCAAACGCAGTACTCTTTTCACCGTGCATTTTAGGGAAGTAAATTTATATTAAATTGGATACCGTTTAAAGCATGTATTACTTTTCTGAATAGAAAATATGTTAAAAATTATGATGAGATTTTCTCCCTCTTTTTTTAAAATCCATTCATGTACTGAATCAGACATTAGTAATTTCAGGCTAATAATAAGATGTTGTTAGGTGCTGTCAAGTCGTCTCCAACTTATAGTGACCTTATGTACAGCAGAACAATACACTGCCCAGTCCTGTGCCAACCTCACAATCCTTGCTATACCTGAGTCCATCGTTGCAGCCACTGTGTCTATCCATCTTGTTGAGGGCCTTCCCCTTCTTCATTGACCCTCCACTTTACCAAGCATATCCTTCTCCAGGGAATGGTTCCTTCTGACAACATGACCAAAGTAGATGAGACGAAGTCTGGCCATCCTCACTTCCAAGGAGCATTCTGGCTGCACTTCCTCCAGGACAGATTTGTTAGTCCTCTTAGCAGACTGTGGTACTCTTAGCATTTTTCTCCAACACCACAACTCAAAAGCATCAGCTCTTTGGTCTTCCTCATTCATTGTCCAGCTCTCATATGCATAAGAGGTGATTGAAAATACTATGGCTTGGGTTAGGTACACCTTAGTCTTCAAGGAAACATCTTTGCTCTTCACACTTGAAAGAGATCTTTTGCAGCAGATTTGCCCAATGCAATACGTCGTCTGATGTCTTGACTGCTGCTTCCACTGGTGTTGATTGTAGAGCCAAATAACATGAAATCCTTGACAACTTCAATCTTTTCTCCATCCACCATGAAGCTGTTTATTGGACCAGTTGTGAGGATCTTCGTTTTGTTTACATTGAGGTATAATCCATACTGCAGACTATAGTCTTCAGTCTTCATCAGTAAGTGCTTCAGGTCATCCTCACCTTCAGCAAGCAAAGTTATGTCATGTGCATTTTGCAGGTTGTTAATGAGTCTTCCTCTAATCCTGATGCCATGTTCTTCTTTATATAATCCAGCTTTTCATATTATTTGCTCAGCATACAAGTTGAATAAGTATGATGAAAGATTGACGCACTCCCTTCCTGATTTTGAACCATGCAGTATCCCCTTACTCTGTTTGAATGACAGCCTCCTGATCTATGTACAGGTTCCTCATGAGTACAATCAAGTGTTCTGGTATTCCCATTATTCTCAATGTTATCCATAATTTGTTGTGATCCACACAATCGAATGCTTTTGCATACCCAATAGAACATAAGTAAACATCTTCCTAGTATTCTTTGCTTTCAGCTAAGATCCACCTGACATCAGCAATGATACCCCTCGTTCCAAGTCCTTTTCTGAATCCAGCTTGCATTTGTGGAAGCTCTCCATCAATATACTGCTGAAACCTTTTTTTTAATTATCTTCAGTAAGATTTTACTTACATGTGATATTAATGATATTGTTTTAGAACTCCCACATTCTGTAGGATCACCTTTCTTTGGAATGGGTACAAATATGGATTTATTTCACTCAGTTGGCCAGGTAGTTGTCTTCTAAATCTCTTGGCATAACCGAGTGAGTGCCTCCAGTATGGCATCCGTTTGTTGAAACATTTCAGTGGGTATTCCATCAATTCCTGGAGCCTTGTTCTTTGGCAATTCCTTTAGTGCAGTTTCAGCTTCTTCCTTTGATACCATTGGTTCTTGATCATATGCCACCTCCTGAAATGGATGAACATTGACTAATTCTTTTTGGTACAGTGACTCTGTTTATTCCTTACATCTTCTTTTGATGCTTCCTGCATCATTCAATATTTTGCCCATAGAATCTTTCAGTATTGGAACTTGAGGCTTAAATTTTTTCTTTAGTTCTTGCAGCTTGAGAAATACTGAGTGTGTTCTTCCCTTTTGGTTTTCTAACTCCAGGTCTTTGCACATTTCGTTACAATAATTGGCTTTGTCTGTTCAAGATGCTCTTTGACATCTTCTGTTCAGCTCTTTTATCTTGTCATTTCTTCCATTTGCTTTAGCTACTCTCAGCTCAAGGGCAAGTTTCAGAGTCTCTTCTGACATCCATTTTGGTCTTTTCTTCCTTCCTCGTCTTTTTAATGATCTCTTGCTTTCTTCATGTTCTTGGTGTCATACCACAGTTCCTTTAGTTTTTGGTCATTGGTGTTCAATGCATCAAATATATTCTTTAAATAGTCTCTAAATTCAGGAGGGATATTATCAAGATCATATTTTGGCTCTTGTGGACTTGTTTTAATTGTCTTCAACTTCAGCCTGAACGTGCATATGAGCAGTTGATGGTCTGTTCCACAGTCAGCCCCTGGTCTTGTTTTGGCCAAAGATATTGAACTTCTCCATTGTCTCTTGCCACAGATGTAGTCAGTCTGATTCCTGTGAACTCCATCTGGTGAAGTCCACGTGTATAGTGATCACTTACGTTGTTGAAAAAAGGTATTTGCAATGAATAAGTCATTGGTCTCACAAAATTCTATCATGGGATCTACAGTGTTATCTCTGTAACCAAGGCCATATTTTCCAACTGCTGGTAGCTCTTCTTTGTTTCCAACTTTTGCATTCCAGTCACCAGTGATAATCAACACATCTTGATTGCACGTGTGGTCAATTTCAGACTGCAGAAATTGGTAGAAATCTTCAATTTCCTCATCTTTGGTTTTGGTGGTTGAGTATAAATTTGAATAATAGTAGTATTAACTGGTCTTCGTATGGATATTATCTTATCACTGACAGCGTTGTACTTCAGGACAGATCTTGAAACAGTCTTTGTGATAACGAATGCCACACCATTCCTTTTCAATTTGTCATTACCACCATATAGATCATATGGTTATCTGATTCAAAATGGCCAAAACCAGTCCATTTCAGCTCACTAATGCCTAGGATATTGATCTTTATGCATTCCATTTCATTTTTTACAACTTCCAATTTTCCTAGATTCATACTTTGTACATTCCATGTTCCAATTATTAACATATGTTTGCATCTGTTTCTATTCATTTTGAGTCGTGACACATCAGCCAGTGGAAGTCCTGAAAATGCCCACATCATTAAGGTCGAATCTACTCTGAGGAGTCAGCTCTTCCCCCAGTCAAATTTTGAGTGCCTTCCAGCATGATGGGCTCATTTTCTGGCACTATATCGGACAGTGTTTCAGAACTGTACAGTTTTCCAGTAATATATCAAACAGTGTTTCAATGCTATTCATAAGGTTTTCACTTGCCAAATATTTGAGAAGTGGATGGCCTCTTCCTTCTTCTGAGTCTGTCTTAGCCAAGAAACCCCACTGAAACCTGTCCACCATGGATAACCCTGCTGGCATTTTGCAACACGGTGGTATAGCCTCCAGTATCACAGTAACACGTAACCTACCACAGCATGACAAACTGACAGAGAAGTTCATCTTAATTGTTCCTAAGCCCTCTGTACCTGCTTACCTCAGGCAACAGCCTTCAAATAGAGCCGCCTACAAGCAAAAAGCAGCCCTCAAGTCCCCGCCTGCCTACCTTGGGCCTTAGACTTAAAATACAGCTGCCCACAAGTGAAAAGCAGGGCCCAAGCCCCAAGCCTGCCTACCTCAGGCCCTGGCCTTAATATAGAGCCACCCCCAAATGAAAAGCAGCCTCTAAGCCCTGGGCCATATAACAAGTAATTTAATCAAAATAAGTTTTCATTTTTAATTGAGAGGAGAAAGACAGAAATTTGAATAATAATGTCAGCATTTTGTCTTTTCCTGTCGGCACTGTAAGTAAGCATTCATTTTGAGAAAGGCAAACTCCTCTTCCTTTTATTCTACTATTTTAAAAGTAGGTGTGTGGGGTTTGGCCATTCATAAGTTTGTAACTTCGTAAGTTTACTTCATCATTCCGTGTTTTTGTTTTATTTATTGTTTTTAAGGATCCAGTTGCTGGTAAATATATTATAGAAAAACAAGACATAATCTACCCAGGCTTACAGCCACCTAGCTCTGGAGCTGAACCCTCCCTGTCTCGACAGCGACGGCAGAAAAAAAGAGAACAGACCGAGCACAGTGGGGGAAAGAGACAGGTCGGTGGAGATCTCTTTGGAATACAGTCATTGTACTGCTGCTTGAGAAATAGACTTTGGGAAGCTTGATTTCTGTTTAGAATGATTAACACTTGCCAGAATGGCACATAAGAAATGCAAGGAACATGTAGAGAGAAGGGTGATGGTGGCAAGATGCTAACTATCAAATATTTCAAATATCAGTGAGTTGGAAACAGAGTAAGGATTTTATCTATCCTAGCAAAAATGGATAGATCATTTTGAGAGTTAAAGGAACAGCTAATGAGGGTAAATCTGACCCCTTCTGTGACATATAAAACAATAGTATCTCATTTATCCTCTGCACAAAATCCTGTTAACACTTCATTTCTTTTTTTAAAAATACATTTTATTGAAATATAATTTATGTACAGTGAAATACACAAAACTAAAGTGACATGGGTCAATGCATTTTTTTTTTTATTTGGCATTGTTCCCTCCCCTCCCCTCCCACCCCTGGCAACCAACAAAGAAAGTTTCCCTCCATATATAAACCTTTCCTTGACCCTCTACAACAATGAACTAATACTATATTTGTTCTTCTGTGATTGACTTATGTCACTCAGCATAATGTCCTCCAAGTTCATCCATATTATGCGGTGTTTTGCAGACTCTACATTATTCTTTAGTGTTGCATAGCATTCCAGTATGTGTATATACCATAGTTTGGTCATCCACTCTTCTGCTGATGGGCACGTAGGTCATTTCCATCTTTTTGCTATTGTAAATAGTGCTGTGATGAACATGAACGTGCATGTATCTGTTCCTATCCTGGCTCTCACCTCTCTAGGATAGATACCTAGTAATAGGGTTGCTGGGTCAAATGGTATCTCCAATTCCAACTTTCTAAGGAATCGCCATATTGCTTTCCACGGTGATTGTGTCACTTCACAGTCACACAAGCAGTGTATGAGAGTCCCAATCTCTCCACATCCCCACCAGCATTTTTCCTTTTCTGTCTCATTGAACCTTGCCATCAGTGCTAGGGTGAGACAGTATATTTCATTGTTGTTTTGATTTACATCTCTCTGATGGCCAATGATTGTGAGTATCTTTTCATGTATTAGCTGACCACCTGAATATCTTCCTTGTTGAAGTGTCTATTCATGCCTTCTGCCCATTTTTCAATTGGATTGTTAATTCCTTTGGTGTTGCAGCGTTGGAGTTTTCCATCAATCTTAGACATAAGTCCCTTGCCAGATATGTAGTTATCAGGAAATATGAATTTGTTGCTGTCATTGTGTCGATTTCTTTGTTCCATATAATTTTCTATGCTGAGCTCATTTTGTTTATGAATCACTTCCTTCACTGCTATTGTTTTAGTATTTGCTGAATATTTATGCTGGTCCTCTTTTTTATTTTGATGTGAAGGTTTATCATTTTTCTTTGAGGTTACCCTGTGATTTATAGTTTTTTTCCCAAGTTTAGAACGGTCTGTTCTGTCTTGTAGTTGTCTTGACTTCCCTACCATCTAGAAGTTCTGTAACAACACAGGTTTTCTTTTCCCTCTTTTTGGTTTGTAGTTGTCCTCCTTTGTTGGTTGGTGTCTCTGGTTCCCTGTTTACAATCTTGGAGGCTTATTTACTTTGGATACTTCCATAGCTGGGTTGCTTTCTGGGTTATACCATCATGTGTGTTAATGGTCAGTTGTTATTGGCTGTTGTTGCTTCTCTGTCCAAAGGGCTCTCTTTAGCATCTCTTGTAAGATTGGTCTGGATTTAACAAATTCCCTTAATTTCTGCTTATCTGGAAATGTCCTAATTTCACCATCATATTTGAGGGACAATTTTGCTGGGTACATAATTCTTGGTTGGAAATTTTTCTCTTTCAGTGTTTTATCCCACTGTCTTCTCGCCTGCATGGTTTCTGTTGAGAAATCCGAGCTTATTCTTAATGATTGTCCCTTGTAGGTAACTTTTCGTTTTTCCCATGCTGCTCTCATGATTCTTTCTTTGTCTTTGGTTTTGGTGAGTTTGATGATGATATGTCTTGGTGTTTTTCTTTTGGGTTCTATCCTGTTTGCTGGACTTCCTGAATGGATATATTCTCATCTTTCATCATATCAGGGAAGTTCTCCTTCAACAAATCTTGGACAATTTTCTCAGTAGTTTCATTTTTCTCTTCCTGTTCTGGAATTCCAATGACACGTAGGTTATTCCTTTTGATGGTATCCCACATGAACCTTAGGCTTTCTTCATTTTGTTTTGATCTTTTTTCTGATTGATCCCTTTCCAAAGAAGTATTCAGGATTTGTCTTCAATCTCATTAATTCTGTCTTCCATTGCATCAGTTCTACTCCTTTGCCCTTGCAATGTGTTACCTATTTCTGGCAATTTAGTATTAATCTTCTGGATTTCTATCTCTAGATTTAGAATCATTTCTAATTTTTCATTTATTTTGTCATTTTGTTCTTATATTTTCTTCCAAAATTCTTCTAGGGTTTTGTCTCTATTTTCCTTGATCTGCTGCCTCTCAATTCGTTCAAGATACCTAAATATAATTCTTTTGAATTATTATCAGGGAATTCCAATGCTGCGTCTTCTTCAGGGATGTGTTTTGGGTCTGTATCCTGGTCCCTTGTTTCTCCTGCTTTATCTTGCTTCTTTGTGTGGACTGTGATCCTCTTTTGTCTCTGAGGCATTGTGATGTTTTTGTGTTTATATTTAATTGGTGATTATATGTTGGGGTGACTTGCCCACAATTTTCATTTTCTTTGTATGTTATCTATACTGGCAGGATACTGTGCTATACTCTTCTATGCACTAGTTGACAGCACTTGTACACTCACCACCTGTCGCTTTGTCAGCCTCTTGTATGTCCATGCCAACCTTGGCAAACAGAGCCTATTCTTAGGTCCCTGGAATCCGAATGAGAATGCTATCACTTTAAAATCCAAAATGGTTGCCACTTGTAAACATTCAAAATGGCTGTGCCCTCAGTCACTTTAAATATCCAAAATGGCTGCCACATGTAAACAATCAAAATGGCTGTGCCCTCCGGGCAGCAGAAAGTCCACAGCCCAGGTTGTCTCCCTCCTTGCTGTTTTCCTTCCTAGTCATAGGCCACCAGAGCAGTTGTCCTTGCAGCCCTTGGTGACCGGGGCTGATCTTTAGGTCAATTCTTAGGTCCCAACACCACTTGGAAATATTCAGGCTGTTGGTCTCGTCAGAGTAGCTGACAGTCTGCAGCTCTGACCGTCTCTGTACTCACTGTTTCGTTTAGGTTTTTCCACTAGTTGGTGCCTAATCCACTTCTGTATAGTTCCTTTCAAAGCTCAGCGTTCCAGGATTATCTTGTATATCTCTGTCAATTGGTCTTTCTGTTCTTTGTTGAAGAGAGTCTGTGTTGCGTGTCTGCCTATTCCTCCATCTTACCAGAAGTCTCAGCACCTCATTGCTTAAAGTAACTTTCACAGGTACCCTGTCCATAAGCTTCTGAGGGGGTCATTCACCTTTGACAGAGGTTCTTTTTAAAAATGCAGTGTTTTAAAGTTTTGAGAGTAAAATACTAATTCATAGAGGACCCTACTGATGGGGGAATTTTGGAGGTGGCGGTTTGTGAAACAGATAGTATAATCTCCTCTTTCTTAAAATTTCTTAAGTTCCAAGAGATTTCTCCTCAACGTTTGCCTTTTCTTCACACTGTTGGAAAAGCGGATGTCACAGCAACTCAAAAGAATGCCGAAAACCAAAGTCAAGCAGATAGTGGGTCTGTCAGCAGTTCGAGGAACAGTGAAGTCTCATCTTCAAAGGTTTGTGGGGGTATATGTTGGACTTTCAAACTTTCTTGTAAAGTGTTTGGTTGTAAAATCCTGTGCTTGTTGTGTTTTATATTAAAACATCTTAGCTCTGCTTCCTGCCAAACACTAGAGGGACCCATTTGGGATTCTCAGCAAAAACTTTGATTGAAATGAACAAATTCTATTCTTCCAGGACAGGTCACTTCCACTAGAATGGTAGTTAACTAAGGAGACCAGGTAGATTCTGAATATGGAAAATGTGGAATTCCCCATTTGCACTCCCAGAAACCACTACTTCCCAGAAATGAGGGCTGTGATCTTTCCTAGCCAGTGGCTATAACTTTGATGTGGACCAGCTTAAAGTGGATGCTCCTTTAAATGTCACTGCAAGGCTTTTTCCTGTGGTGCTAGATGAGCCTTCACATGCTGCAGATGTTCTAAGAATAGTGAGTAGCAATGGAAGTGACTCTCTGACTTTCTTTAAAAGGATCGACCGTTATCAGCAAGAGAGAGGAGGCGACTCAAGCAGTCTCAGGAAGAGGTGTTCCCCTCAGGTAAAATTATTCTCTTCCCTTCACTTGTTAGGAGTTGTGGTTTGTAGATAGACATCTGTGCAGGTTCTGATGGCCAGAAAAACAAACCTGTTGTCTCAAGTCAGTTCCAATTTATAGGACCCTATAAGGACAAGTAGAACTGCCTCATAGAGTTTCCAAAGCTGCAATCTTTATGCAGCAGACTACCTCATCTTTCTTCTGCGGAGTGAGTTTGGACCACCGACCTTTGAGTTAGCAGCCAAGCACTTAAGCACTGTGTCACCAGAGCTCCTTATAGTGAGGTGATACAAATTTCTAGGCATCAGTAATCCACTTGGGAAACCCATTTGGAAGAGTTGTAAAATTTCTCAGTGAAGCCTTTAAAAAAAAAAAAAATCAACAAAGGCTGTTGGATCTGGAACATGTATCACCAGTGAAGGAGGAGACTAAAAAGAGAGATAAACCAAAAAAAAAACAACCAAACTCACTTTCGTTGAGTCGATTCGACTCATAGTAACCCCTCCTTGGGTTTCCGAGGCAGTATCACTACAGAAGTAGGTTGCCCAACCTTCCTCCGAGGAATGGCTAGTGGGTTTGAACCACCAGTCTTCTGGTTAGCAGTCAAATGCCTTAGGCACTACGCCACCAGAGCTCCCCACCACCAGACTGTATTGTTATGTGCCATCAAGTCAGACCTGACTCATAGCAACCCCTCTTTGGGTTTCCAAGGGGGTATCGCTACAGAGGTAGATTGCCCAACCTTTCTTCTGAGGAGTAAGCTAGTGGGTGTGACCCACCAGCCTTCTGGTTAGCAGTTAACTCCTTTGGCACTATGCCACCAGAGCTCCCCACCACAGACCAGATAGAGGGCTTTACATAAAGACAGTGGTTCCTAGTAGATTTCAGACTGGAAACTGAATGTGAGTTTACCTTGTTTCCATACCCAGAGTTTTCTCTCTTCTTAGGAGCAGAGAGGAAGCTAGGGGAATGGTGCCACCCTGGGCTTTCCTATTTCTTTCATCTAATGACAGTACTAGCTATTTCTGTTCACTGAATGCTGAGCATGTCTCAGGCATTATGGCAGACATCTTAAGGGTATTATCTGATTTCATATTTATGTAGCTGTCAAAAGGTAGGCAGTATTATTCCATTTTGTAGCTGAGGAAACTGAGCTTGGGGTTAAATAACTTGCCCAAGGTCACAGAACTGATAGAACCAGAGCTGGGATTTGAACTGAGCTGTCAGACACCAGAGTGATGATGAATATGATGAATATGCTGTCTGTATTACTTCCGGGCTGAATCTCACTGGTGTCTTCCACATCCAGTGCAAAGCCTTCTTCAGTTGAGGCCAACCCACCCACAATCAACCACTGTGGATGATCATTTTTTTCAGGCCCTTCAGTGAGGAGAGCTTCTCTGAGTTCAGTGAGGCCAGGGAAACCTCAGGAGGAAGGCCAGCCCCTCCCTGCCAGACGATTCTCTTCTGACTGCAGTGTTGCTCAGGTATGTCACATACTCCTAAGGGAAAAGGCAGACACATCTACATCTGGCAAGCTTCATGCAGTAAACCTTATAAATTTATTTCTGGACAGGCCTGGCTACAGTTTCACCTTTTGCTCTTGGTAAGGAAAGGAACTGGTAAATAATAATTAAAGGGACTTTGTTTGACCCATTAAAAGGATGAATTTCTCAGACACTCTTAGGAACAGTTGGAAGCCTAGCTAAAAATATTTCTTAAGTAGTTTTTAAAAAAAGAATTCCTAAGGGCCTTCCACTAGGCAGCACTTTCATTATTCTTCCATGTTACCAACAAACCCATCTGCCTGGCCAGACTTTAGTCTCACTTGTTGCTCATTCCTGTTTCACATTTATGTCAAAGTAAAATTACCTTCTCGTTTATGGATGATGTAGGTTCGCCATCTGGTGGCTAAATGGATAATTGCAAAGTTTCCAACCCTTGTTCATGTTTCTGTTGAATAATCCCCTGGGGATAATTATGCAGTTTTCTGAATTTTTGGCCCTAACATGATTTATGGGAGCTCTGGTAGCATAGTGGCTAAGACACTTGCCTGCTAACCAGACGGCTGGCGGTTCAAACCCACCAGCCACTCCTCGGAAGGAAGGTTGGGCAATCCTACTTCCGTAGTGATACTGCCTCGGAAACCCAAGGAGGGGTCGCTATGAGTCGGGGCCGACTCGACGGCACATAACAACAACAACAACAACAACAACAACAACATGATTTATAGAAGCATATTTTTATTTTAACAATATGGACTTTCTTATTTTGAAAGTAATGAAGATTCATTTCTATTATTTTTCATTTTTTTTGTTTTCTGTTATTTAGTTGTTTCACTAATTGAGATTACTATTTCCATCTTCCAAATTTGTAAGTCTTGTGTGTAATCATGTCAGGTAATCCTTTAAAGCAGTTTAATAGAGTCTCATGTTTGAGCAAGCTGAGGTGGCCTTGATTTGGGTGCCATTTGATCTAGTTTAAAATGCCAGTATTCTTAACGGTCATGCTTCTGACGGGGACGTGGAATACCAGAACTAGTTATCCACTCTCTTCTGGAAAGGAAATTTCTTCACCGTTAAGATGCTTGAGGGCCTTATAAAACTTTACCTTGATGTTCCTCAGGCTTCACTTGTGAACTTTATGGGTGAACTGGGTATCATTTGAGTAAAGTAACTTCAATTTTTATATCCAATAGTTTTTCCTGTTACATTGCACCTAGATGCACATTGTGTCTTGACATTGCATCTAAGACTGTTTCACATACTACATTGTATTGTCGTGTGGATTTTTATTTCTGTAAACATTAATAGGAAAAGAAACTGATCCATTATTTGTCTGAGGAGGAGTTTAGTTCTTCTACGAGTTCAACTGATAAGTCAGATGGGGATTCTAGGGAAAGGTAAGTTCTTGTTTTCCTCTCTCCTTTCATCAGGTATTTCTGTTTGAATTAATTCCAAATGTACATTTACAGTAGTATTTAGTCCTGTAGTACTCAATGATAGCATCATAAATGGTTTATGGTACATGCCAGAGCTAAAAAGATCTCTTCTAATGAACACATCTGATTTTCAATCTGAATTCTTAACAGAATTTCTTCTTAAAACTATGGGTTTATTGTTTTCAGCAGATTTGGTAAAATTTTGGCCATTATTTCTTTAAATATATATAATACATATACACACACACACATATACAGGGAGCTCTGGTAGCATAGTGCCTAAGGCATTTGACTGCTAACCAGAAAGCTGGTGGTTCAAACCCATCAACCACTCCTTGGAAGGAAGATGGGGCAATCTACTTCCATAGAGGTACTGCTTCGTAAACCCAAGGAGGGGTCGCTATGAGTTGGGGCCTACTCAACGGCACATAACAACAACAATATATACACATGCACACACGCACATACATGCTCCTTTGGAGATTCCAATTACATGTATTTTAGGCTGTTAAAAGTTGTCCCACAGCTCACTGATACTGTGTTCATTTTTTTAGACTTTTCCTGTTTCATTTTTCATAGATTCTATTGCTAGATCTTCAGGTTCACTAATATTTTCCTCTGCAGTGTCTAATCTGTTAATGTCATCTCCTGTATTTAACGCCTTATACTTTTCATATCTAGAAGTTCAATTTAGGTCTTTTTATATCTTCCGTGCTTCTCCTTAACATGTTCATGCTTTCCCCTACATTGAATCTGTGGAATATATTTCTAATAAGTATTTTTAAGGTCCTCACCTACAGTTCTATCACTTTTATCACTTCTGGATCTGTTTCATTAATTGATTGTTGTCTCTTTACAATGTATGATATTTTCCTGCTTCTTTGTACATCTGATAATTTTTAACTGGATGCCAGACATTGTGACTTTTATCTTATTGGATGTTGGCATTTGTATTCCTTACATATTTTTGAGCTTTGTACTAGGATGTAGTTAAGTGACCTGAAAATAGTTTGATCCTTTTCAAGGCTTGCTTTTAAGCTTTGTGGTAGGACCAGAACAGACTTTTTAGGGCTAATTTTGTCTCCCTACTAAGCAATACCTTTTTAAATTCCCTTCTTGATGCACCGTGTATTACGAGTTTTTCCACCATGACTGATGGGAACTCAGATTATTCCTGACCCTACATGAGCACAGAGGTTTTTCTACCTGCTGCTTTTTGGTGGTTCTTTTCGTTAACTAAGGTAGTTTGTTTATATGCCAGTTTTTATCAGTACTCAGCTGAAGACTCAAGGGGTACCTCTGTAGATTTCTAGGGCTCTCTCCTTGTGCAGCTTTCTCCTCTGATCCTCTCTACTGGGAATTCTTGGCTTTCCTGAATTTGCAGCTCTATCTCTTCAACTAAGGAAGGCTGCCAGGTCCAGTTTGGTTTCTTCTTCCTTACTCTGTGTCCTAGAAACTCCCTTAATGCAGTAAGCTGGGACAATCATAGGGTTCATTTCATTTATTTCCCATTACTCAGATCACTATACTGCATTGCCTATTGTTTAACATTTGAAAATCAGTTTTGTTTGTATTTTGTCTTGTTGTCATTGTTTCATGGGAGGGTACATCCAGTTCCTGTTCTTCCATCATGACTGGAAGCAGAAACTATCCTATAAATTTATTTTTTATATTGAAAAAGATATTTTTTTTTTTTTT